GTGTTCAGGAGGACATTTAGGATGCGTTCAGGATGACATATAGGTTGTGTTCAGGAGGACATTTAGGATGCGTTCAGGATGAAATTTAGGATGTGTTCAGGAGGACATTTAGGATGCGTTCATGATGACATTTAGAATGTGTTCAGGAGAACATTTAGGATGTGTTCAGGATGACATTTAGAATGCGTTCTGTATGACATTTAGGATGTGGTCAGGAGAACATTCAGGATGCGTTCAGGAGGACATTTAGGATGTGTTCAGGATTACATTTAGGATGCGTTCAGGAGAACATTTAGGATGTGTTCAGGAGGACATTTAGGATACGTTCAGGAGAACATTTAGGATGTGTTCAGGAGGACATTTAGGATACGTTCAGGAGAACATTTAGGATGTGTTCAGGAGGACATTTAGGATGCGTTCAGGAGAAAATTTAGGATGTGTTCAGGAGGACATTTAGGATGCGTTCAGGAGAACATTTAGGATGTGTTCAGGAGGACATTTAGGATACGTTCAGGAGAACATTTAGGGTGTGTTCAGGAGGACATTTAGGATGCGTTCAGGAAAACATTTAGGATGTGTTCAGGAGGACATTTAGGATGCATTCAGGAGAACATTTAGGATGTGTTCAGGATGACATTTAGAATGCGTTCTGGATGACATTTAGGATGTGGTCAGGAGAACAGTCAGGATGCGTTCAGGAGGACATTTAGGATGTGTTCAAGAGGACATTTAGGATGTGTTCAGGAGGACATTTATGATACCTTCAGGAGAACATTTAGGATGTGTTCAGTAGGACATTTAGGATACGTTCAGGAGAACATTTAGGATGTGTTCAGGAGGACATTTAGGATGCGTTCAGGAGAACATTTAGGATGTGTTCAGGAGGACATTTAGGATGCGTTCAGGAGAACATTTCGGATGTGTTCAGGGGGACATTTAGGATGCGTTCAGGAGAACATTTAGGATTTGTTCAGGAGGACATTTAGGATACGTTCAGGAGAACATTTAGGGTGTGTTCAGGAAGACATTTAGTATGCATTCAGGAGGACATTTAGTATGCATTCAAGAGGACATTTAGGATGCATTCAGAAGGACATTTTGGATGCTTTCAGGTGGGTGTGTGGGTGTGTGTGGGTAGGTGTGGGTGTGTGTGGGTGGGTGTGTGTGTGGGTGTGTGTGTGTGCGTGGTCTGTGTGTGTGTGTGTGTGTGTGTGTGTGTGTGTGTGTGTGTGATGTGTTTGTTTGCGTCATTCCTCCTCCCACACCATGCATTATTTGTATTTTATCCACCAGGTGTTTTGGTACACCATACAGTATCTGTATTTTATCCACCAGGTGGTATGGTACACCATACAGTATCTGTATTTTTTCCACCAGGTGGTATGATACACCATGCAGTATCTGTATTTTATCCACCAGTTGGTATGATACACCATGCAGTATCTGTATTTTTTTCACCAGGTGGTATGGTACACCATACAGTATCTGTATTTTATCCACCAGGTGGTATGATACACCATGCAGTATCTGTATTTTATCCACCAGGTGGTATGATACACCATGCAGTATCTGTATTTTATCCACCACGTGGTATGATACACCATGCAGTATCTGTATTTTATCCACCAGGTGGTATGATACACCATGCAGTATCTGTATTTTATCCACCAGGTGGTATGATACACCATACAGTATCTGTATTTTTTCCACCAGGTGGTATGATACACCATGCAGTATCTGTATTTTATCCACCAGGTGGTATGATACACCATGCAGTATCTGTATTTTATCCACCAGGTGTATGATACACCATACAGTATCTGTATTTTATCCACCAGGTGGTATGATACCCCATGCAGTATCTGTATTTTTTCCACCAGGTGGTATGATACACCATGCAGTATCTGTTTTTTTTTCACCAGGTGGTATGGTACACCATACAGTATCTGTATTTTTTCCACCAGGTGGTATGATACACCATACAGTATCTGTATTTTTTCCACCAGTTGGTATGATACACCATGCAGTATCTGTATTTTATCCACCAGGTGGTATGATACACCATACAGTATCTGTATTTTATCCACCACGTGGTATGATACACCATGCAGTATCTGTATTTTATCCACCAGGTGGTATGATACACCATGCAGTATATGTATTTTATCCACCACGTGGTATGATACACCATGCAGTATCTGTATTTTATCCACCAGGTGGTATGATACACCATGCAGTATCTGTATTTTATCCACCAGGTGGTATGATACACCATACAGTATCTGTATTTTTTCCACCAGGTGGTATGATACACCATGCAGTATCTGTATTTTATCCACCAGGTGGTATGATACACCATACAGTATCTGTATTTTTTCCACCACGTGGTATGATACACCATGCAGTATCTGTATTTTATCCACCAGGTGTATGATACACCATACAGTATCTGTATTTTATCCACCAGGTGGTATGATACACCATGCAGTATCTGTATTTTTTCCACCAGGTGGTATGATACACCATACAGTATCTTTATTTTTTCCACCAGGTGGTATGATACACCATGCAGTATCTGTATTTTTTCCACCAGGTGGTATGATACACCATGCAGTATCTGTATTTTTTCCACCAGGTGGTATGATACACCATGCATGGAGAAGTGAGGGCTAGGCACACTCACACACACACACCGACACACAGGCTCCAGTTTACAATCTGGAGACATCAAAACAGCTGGAAGTGTGCCAGGGCGGATCCCCCGTTCCGTCTGTCAGCACCACCGCTCACAGTCTCCAACTAGTCAGCATGCAGTACTCTTCAGAATATAGGGGTTACTATTAAATCGATCCAAATGAATCCAAGTGGGCTCTCGTCTCTAGACAGACAATTATCTTCATAACGTGGAAATTACTTGCACCCCCTATGCCCACTCATATTCCTCCTCCTCCCTCCTTCCCTCCATCTCTCTCGCTCTCCCTCCGAAACCTACTTGAAGATAACAGCGCTCACTGTTTCCCCTAGTGGCCGGTTTCCATGTTATCTCCCGACGTCCTCAGCCATGGATGGACATCGAATACTGACTTGTGTCAGGGGTGAAATGGCTGATTCACAGACCAACCATGCTGATTACGCTTGACCACTTTAGAGGACAGACCAACCATGCTGCTTACGCTTGACCACTTTAGAGGACAGTCCATCCATGTTGAAACAGGCTGTATGCACACATTACTCTCTCTCTCATCGACAAATACAACTTACAAATGTGACCTGGACAGTACATTAGCTCACAACACAGCAACTTACTTCTACCAATATCTACAAAATCTACAAATATCTACCAAATCTACAAATATCCACAAAATCTACAAATATCTACAAATAGAACAGAAAAAGTGTGACTGACTCCCACAGAGAAAATGACAATTGAACAGCTTTCCAAATCCCAGACTTTAGCTTTGAGTAGTTAAAGAGATCTTTACATTTTCATCCTAGTAGACAACTGGACAATTAAAATGATGCATGACACATCACGGAAGATGGTGTTAAATAGCAGCATCTGTCGACAGGCACCCAGGCCAGTTTGGCACTACGGCAACGTCTCCCAGTAAAGACGCAGCCAAGTAGGACAAGACACAGCACTGTCTAATTACATGGTGACAGATTGAAACACACATACACACACACGCGTGCAGTCACATATACAGTACATACAAACACACGCACTGAACAAATACATATGTTATAGACCAAACACATATTGAGTTAAAAGCAGTGTCTGATTTTGTCTTGATCACTGTCTTACTCAGTTGAATTGTCATGGGATTGGAAACGAATTGTCAATATGAAATATGGTTAATTTATATGTCACAAAACACCACCACACAGTGCATTACTAATCATTACTAATCATTATTAATCTACACACGAATTCCATCTGCTGTAGGTCTTATTCACAGCAAAGGGGCATCCTTGAAGACCTGGTTCATTAGTATGCTGAATAGGATTGCTCAGTGTCAAACTCTCAAACTGTCCTTCTCTCTCTCTCCCTCTCTCTACCTACTAATAGTTATCCTCCTCTCTGTGCCTCAGGTAGGAGGGAGGGAGGGAGGGAGGGAGGGAGGGAGGGAGGGAGAAAGGAAGAGAGGGAGGAAGAGAGATTATATTTCTCTCGGGATCCGGTCATGAGTGAGTGGGTTGATGAGCCAAATGGTTAGCAGGAGAAGACAGCCATTTTACAGTGCAGTGTTGGAGACCAGATGTGACTGAAGCTCAGAGCAGTCAATACTGTCTACCTCTGTTCTCTCTCTCTCTCTCTCTCTCTCTCTCTCTCTCTCTCTCTCTCTCTCTCTCTCTCTCTCTCTCTCTCTCTCTCTCCAATTCAATTCAATTTGCTTTATTGTTATGACGTAACAATGCACATATTGCCAAAGTTTACTTTGGATATTTACACTATTAACATAATTAAAATAATAATAATCAATATTGTCAACAGGACAACAGTAACAACAATAACCAAATGTAAAAAATAACCATACATTGAACATTAACAATATAGAGGACATGTGCAGGTTGGTCTGTTAGACACTGTCCCTCATCTTATGGCAGGCAGCAATGTAGTGCGCTGCCAATCCACAGCTCTCTGCGTCCTCCACCAACAGGACGGGTAGCCTATTCTCATCAGAGAGGTCTTTGAAACCTTGAAAAACTGTTTCAAATTTGGGGAAATGACACTCTCTAATTGTTTTATATTTTTGACATTTTGTCAGGAAATGCAGCCTCAGGTTCTGCTGTGGTGCGGTGGTTTCACAGCCTTTCCTCAACAGGGAGCCATGTTTTCCTGTGTCTACCCTTCTCAATGGGTAGACACAACAAACAAGACAGCCCTACAATACAGAGACCTTTCAACAAACAAGACAGCCCTACACTAGAGACCTTTCAACAAACAAGACAGCCCTACACTACAGAGACCTTTCAAACAAGACAGCCCTAGACTACAGAGACCTTTCAACAAACAAGACAGCCCTACACCAGAGACCTTTCAACAAACAAGACAGCCCTACACCAGAGACCTTTCAACAAACAAGACAGCCCTACGCAACAGAGTCCTTTCAACAAACAAGACAGCCCAACACTACAGAAACCTTTCAAACAAGACAGCCCTAGACTACAGAGACCTTTCAACAAACAAGACAGCCCTACACTACAGAGACCTTTCAAACAAGACAGCCCTAGACTACAGAGACCTTTCAACAAAAAAGATAGCCCTACAATACAGAGACCTTTCAACAAACAAGACAGCCCTACACTACAGAGTCCTTTCAACAAACAAGACAGCCCTACACTACAGAGACCTTTCAAACAAGACAGCCCTAGACTACAGAGACCTTTCAACAAACAAGACAGCCCTACACTACAGAGACCTTTCAAACAAGACAGCCCTAGACTACAGAGACCTTTCAACAAAAAAGATAGACCTACAATACAGAGACCTTTCAACAAACAAGACAGCCCTACACTACAGAGTCCTTTCAACAAACAAGACAGCCCTACACTACAGAGACCTTTCAAAACAAGACAGCCCTAGACTACAGAGACCTTTCAACAAACAAAACAGTGCTACACTACAGACACCTTTCAACAAACAAGACAGCCCTAGACTACAGATACCTTTCAATAAACAAGACAGCCCTAGACTACAGAGACCTTTCAATAAACAAGACAGCCCTACGATACAGAGACCTTTCAATAAACAAGACAGTGCTACACTACAGAGACCTTTCAACAAAGAATACAGTCCTACACTACAGAGACCTTTCAACAAACAAGACAGCCCTACACTACAGATACCTTTCAAACAAGACAGCCCTAGACTACAGAGACCTTTCAACAAACAAGACAGCCCCAGACTACAGATACCTTTCAACAAACAAGACAGCCCTACACTAGAGACCTTTCAATAAACAAGACAGCCCTACACTAGAGACCTTTCAACAAACAAGACAGCCCTACACTACAGAGACCTTTCAAACAAGACAGCCCTAGACTACAGAGACCTCTCAACAAACAAGACAGCCCTACACCAGATACCTTTCAACAAACAAGACAGCCCTACACCAGAGACCTTTCAACAAACAAGACAGCCCTACACCAGAGACCTTTCAACAAACAAGACAGCACTACACTACAGAGACCTTTCAACAAACAAGACAGCCCTACACTACAGAGACCTTTCAACAAACAAGACAGCACTACACTACAGAGACCTTTCAACAAACAAGACAGCCCTACACTACATAGACCTTTCAACAAACAAGACAGCCCTAGACTACAGAGACCTTTCAATAAACAAGACAGCCCTACAATACAGAGACCTTTCAATAAACAAGACAGTGCTACACTACAGAGACCTTTCAACAAAGAATACAGTCCTACACTACAGAGACCTTTCAACAAACAAGACAGCCCTACACTACAGATACCTTTCAAACAAGACAGCCCTAGACTACAGAGACCTTTCAACAAACAAGACAGCCCTAGACAACAGATACCTTTCAACAAACAAGACAGCCCTACACTAGAGACCTTTCAATAAACAAGACAGCCCTACACTAGATACCTTTCAATAAACAAGACAGCCCTACACTACAGAGACCTTTCAACAAACAAGACAGCACTACACTACAGAGACCTTTCAACAAACAAGACAGTGCTACACTACATAGACCTTTCAACAAACAAAACATCAATAAACTACAAACCTTTCAATAAACAAGACAGCACTACACTACAGAGACCTTTCCACAAACAAGACAGCCCTACACTACAGAGACCTTTCAACAAATAAGACAGCCCTACACTACAGATACCTTTCAAACAAGACAGCCCTAGACTACAGAGACCTTTCAACAAACAAGACAGCCCTACACCAGAGACATTTCAACAAACAAGACAGCCCTACACCAGAGACCTTTCAACAAACAAGACAGCCCTACACCAGAGACCTTTCAACAAACAAGACAGCACTACACTACAGAGACCTTTCAACAAACAAGACAGCCCTACACTACAGAGACCTTTCAACAAACAAGACAGCACTACACTACAGAGACCTTTCAACAAACAAGACAGCCCTAAACTACAGAGACCTTTAAATACAAACAATACTTAATCTATACACAATAATCTTAATGTCAGAACTGTGTAAACAATCTTAATATTGATCTCAATCTATATCTCAACCTCAGTCAATTAACCAATCAACCAATCTATTTAAACAAGGGATGTGTCTAACCCCTCTCACAGGAGTAACAACACCCTGTATCAATACCCATTCATCAAAACCAGAACTAGATCAAATAGGGATGGATGTCTTACCCATCTCACAGGAGTAACAACACCCTGTATCAATACCTATTCATAAAAACCAGAACTAGATCAAATAGGGATGGATGTCTTACCTCTCTCACAGGAGCGGCCCAGGTGCCCCGTCCCCGAGCAGTCACAGACGTAACGGTTCCATCCCTCCCGACATATCCCGTTATTCTGGCAGGGATTTGACAGGCACTGTTTGGGCGGTTCTTTAGAACAGGATGGTTTGACCCCTGCAGCCTTCTGAACCTCGGCCATGCGGCGGACGTCTTTACTCTGGCCATCGATGAACAGGTCCCGGATGCAGCCCACGTAGCCATAGTTTAGGAGAGCCGTCCAAACCTGGAGAAATGCGGAATAAAACTGGTAACTGGGGAGATGCTTATTTCAGATCACTACTACCATCCATTACCATTGTGCCCTTAAGCAAGGCATTTAATTAACCACTAAGCTGCTACAGGTTCGCTGCACTCTGGCTGATTATGTGTGTGTGTGTGTGTGTGTGTGTGTGTGTGTGTGTGTGTGTGTGTGTGTGCGCATGTGTGTGTTGTACCTCTGTAGGGAAGATCAGGCCTAGTTTATTCTCTGGTAGTCCTCCCAGGTATAGGTTATCATCCAGATCCAGGATCTCACTCTCTCCTGGGGCTGTGTAGGCCTGTCGCTGGGTGTTGATGGAGATGGTACCTGGGTAGAGACAGGAGGAGTGTTGAAGTTTACCACTTGGCAGGGTTGATTTTTTATTATAGATGGATCCTGAATGTAACACACACATCAATCAATAAACAACTGTTCATACCGCATGCCATTCAAATGTAAACGGAATGGAACTCCTACTACAGCTGCACAAACACCACTAGAAACAGGATGGATCCATAAATGGTTCAATACAGATGGAGAAAGAAGTTTAATTACTTTAATTTATCACTACAGGGTTGGGATATTCTTCTTCTGGAATGAACGTTAAACATACCTGGGTTCAAATACTATTTGAAATATTTCAAATACTTTCAACATTTGCTCTAGCCGGGTTTGCTCTTTTTGACTGTCCTATTAATTCCATTAAGCCAGGCAAACTCAATCGAGTACAGATAAATATTTTAAATTGTATTTGAACCCAGGTCGGGCATTGATACGACACTAAATCATATTGCTGCGAGCCGGGGCCCATTAGTAATCTGTGATCCCATAGAAGTAACTCTCCATTCTATTCTCCCCTTTGTAAATCTCATTTATCTATACAGCAGCGGTCATAAAATAATAACGGGGGGGGGGGGGGGGAGCCGAAACAAACAACAAACCCTGTCTTGACTGTATTTCAGAGTGATTAACGAACTGCAGGTTGATTTTCTCTCTCTCCCTTTCTCTCTTTTTCTTTCTTTTTCTCTCTTTTTCTCTCTTTTTCTCTCTCTCTCTCTCTCTCTCTCTCTCTCTCTCTCTCTCTCTCTCTCTCTCTCTCTCCTCTCTCTCCTCTCTCTCTCTCTCTCTCTCTCTCTCTCTCTCTCTCTCCCTCTCTCTCCCCCTCTCTCTCTCCTCTTTTTCCATCTATCTCTCTTTCCAACACATAAACCTGGCTAGGAGAGTTAGTTTGTTTCCCTCTCATTGATTTATCACTCTCATTCAGCTTTAATTCTGGATGGTAAAAACACAGGACCTGACTGGACTGTAAAGAGTATGGAGTGTGTGTATGTGCGTGTGTATGTGTTGTATGTGTGCACTGTGCATGTGTGTACGTGTGTGTGCTGTAGAGAGGTGGAGGGCTGTGTGGCTCTGGGACTCTGTCGTTTCTTGGGCCTGGTGATAAATTTGTGCATGGATCTGTTACTCTCTCTCAGCACGGCTCTGCTACGCAGCCATTGTGGATCTTTAATTAATGGCAGGTGCCTTCGCTAGCCGGGCCCAGTGTTCCTCCTCCTCACAGTAATCTATACCACTGCTCTGAAGTGTTAAGGTACAGAGCTACTAGGCAGAGAAGAACCATACAGGACAAGAGAGAGTGAGAAAGGAGAGAGAGAGAGAGTGAGAAAGGAGAGAGAGAGTGAGAAAGGAGAGAGAGAGAGAGAGAGAGAGAGAGAGAGAGTGGGAGAAGACGGTGGTACCTGGAGAGATACCTGGCCGGGCTGAGAAGAACAATCCAGAGATGAAAGGGGGGAGGAGAAAGAGAAGGGAGCAGAGAGAATGGAAGGATATTTGTCATCCTGCAGAACTAATTTACTTTTGATTGACAGATGCACGCTGTGGTAGATATCAACCAGCTACGTTATAATAATAATATGCCATTTAGCAGACGCTTTTATCCAAACATACATTTTTACGTATGGGTGGTCCCGAGGATCGAACCCACTACCCTGGTGTTACAAGCGCCATACTCTACCAATTGAGCCACAAAGGACCACCCATACGTAAAAAAGAGCTCAATGCCTTAGGAAAAACCACTGGACCACTAAGTGTGTGTGTGTGTATGTGTGTGTGTGTGTGTGTGTGTGTGTGCGTTTGTGTATGTGTAACAGCATAGCGTTGATTTATTCCTAGTAGCCAAATAGTTTTGGTAATGAAACATGTCCCACACATGGAGTTACACCCGGGCTGGCTGGAGGGGAAAAACAATACAACAAAATGGGCTCTTAGATTTCCTGAATAAGTGGTGTAGTTTGAAGCATGTTGCTCTTTGCCTAGTACATCATATGCTGATTGAGTTTTGTATTACTTTTTGAGTGATTTTAACAGGAGAACCAAGCTGTGACAATCCAACAGAGTCTCTTTGATCTTTGGACCTATCTGAGTTACTTGTCCGTTCTTCGCTCTCCACCTAACACCAAGGTGAGCCAGCTCCAGCCCTCCCACTGGAGACAAATGACCATTCCTACATTAGCTAGCAAGCTTAGCATCCATTTTACCCCTGAGTTGTTGTGTCCTATATCTGTGGGGTGCAGCCAAGGTGAGCTAGCTCCAGCCACAGCTACTGCTCTATTAACTAGCTATTACCTAGCTTTAACAGAGCGTCCATTTTACCAGAGCTGCTATGTTCTATGCTAAACAGGTTGGTTCTTGGTTTGCAGCCAAGGTGAGTCAGCCTCAGTGGCCATTGCATACACTCACCATACAAAACAGTCACTCTATTATCCAGCTAGCGTCCATTTTCCCTGAGCTCACTCTAATATATCTACTTTGGATTGTTATTTCTTGATTAATTTTTTTACATGTTTTTATTAAATTTTTTGGATTTGTATTGTGTTCACGAGACATTCTACTGCACTGTTGGCGCTAGTAACATAAGCATTTTGCTGCACCTGCTACAGTTGAAGTCGGAGGTTTACCTACATACACTTAGGTTGGAGTAATTAAAACTTGTTTTTCTACCACTCCACAAATGTCTTTTTAACAAACTATAGTTTTGGCAAGTCCGTTAGGACATCTACTTTGTGCATGACACAAGTAATTTTTCAAAAAATTGTTTACAGACAGACAGGGGCGGTGTGTTCAATAGGGCGATATGGGCGACGCACTGCCAAACGGGAAAAGGAAGGGATTTTTTTTCTAATCAACTATATCACGGCAACAGTAGTTATCAGTGTTGTAATCTAGACGTCTGATCTGCCACAGTGCCACTAAATGTCCAATCAGGCTAAAGTCGTGCTTCAAATGCCCCCCCCCCCCCTTTTGGGGCGATTTCAGTCAGGTTGAAAATCGCCCAGAAGTCAGTCATAGACTCCCATGTAAAATCTATTTTTTTCAAATATCAGAGCTTTCAATACAATCTCTATGGGTTTCTGAGGGCTTGCACTTACGCGCTTTCGTCATACGTAACATAACCATGAACGTAACTAAGAAAAGAGCGGGTAGCAGCGTCAATCAATTCACTATTACTATCAAAATGGCTAGGCTTCAGTGCAACTCGATTGTGTCTTTGAAAGAAGTTCCTTTTTGTCGGCGAACAAATGAAGATAAATTGGCAACGAAACAATTAGGACCTCCCAGACCAAATTTAATAATTCAACAGGTTTCTACTAAAGGGGGGAAGTCCTACACCCGAGGATTTTCCAAAAATTGGTACGAACGAAAAACCTGGCTAGCAGGCTGCGATGTAGCTAATGCAGTCTTCTGCTACCCCCTGCTTACTCTTTCACCCTGAAGGCGGCACGGCAGACAGCACCGCTTGGACAGCGACTGGTGTGTAACGGACATGCACCATCTTTCAGGAAAGATTAAGAAACATGAGCTGTCAAA